TGTCTTCCTACAAGCACCTGAACTATGACAGTGTAAGATAGTACAGATGGTTCTCACTTTACAAACTAGCTGTTTTACGACGGATCACACTTACGACCAGCTCTCTAGCGTGGGGATTCAAGGGATTCCCCACATTATAGAGCTGTTCTATGTTCGGGTAATTTTCCCAGAACATAGATTAGAGGCATTCCCTGCCTGGTCTCTGTTCGGTGAATTTTCCCCGGACATAGATTAGAGGGATTCCCTGCTCTGGTGTGTATGTCTACGTTCAGGTAAATTTCCCCGGACATAGGCAGGTGCACCAGAGCAGGGAATCCCTCTATGTTCAGGGAATGTTCCCCGAACATAAATTTGAGGGATTCCCTGCTCTGCTGCGCTTGTCTATGTTCGAGGAAATTTACCCGAACGTAGACATATGCACCAGAGCAGGAAATCACTCTAATCTATGTTGAGGGAAATTTCACTGAACATATACCTTACTTACCGACCAATTCATTTTACAACTGGGTCGTAAGAACGGAACCCAGTCAGTAAGTATCTATCTGTAGTTACAGTGCCAGTAGTGCCCTAGTGCCCTATTGCAAGTAGTCAAACCATATAGGCAACAAAAGTGTGTGATCCCGAGCTACAAAAGCAACAGGAGCACTTGAGAGAAAGTTCTGCAGGAAATATGCTGTCTAAAGGGATATCCTTAAAATAGCTTTATTGAGGTATCTACTACAAAAGTATGATCCCAAAAAAGAAAATATAAATGAAACTTAATACACCATAACAACTAGAAAAATAAGTATATACATAACGAGTAATAGACTCAATCTATAAATCTGGGAACAAATTACCTACAAATTACTAACCCTCGACCCTTCCCGGAAATACCAAAGGGAGTATAAGATCTTGCTGGATCAAGCCTTTGATCAGGGGATACTATCAAAGGACGAATATGGAAGTATTTACATCAAAAACCCAACAATCTCTACATTTTATTGCCTCCCCAAAATTCATAAGAAACAAGCAAACCTGACAGCAAGACCAATTGTATCAGGTACGAAGAATTTCACAAGCAAGGGGAGCATTTATGTGGATAGAATTTTACGTCCCTTTGTAGAAAGTCTGCCATCATATTTGAAGGATACCAAAGATACTCTAAAGTGTGTAACATCACTCAAGGTACCTGAGGGAGCAGTACTCTGCAGTTTGGACGTAGAAGCCCTATACTCCTCCATACCACACTCAAGCGGTCTTGAGCATATTGAATATTTCCTTAAGAAAAGGGGTGCTGAACACAATACACATACGGCTTTTGTGTTAGATCTGTTGAGGTTTATTCTGACACACAATTTCTTCCTCTTCCAGAACAATTACTATCACCACGTGCAGGGGACAGCGATTGGGACATCTTGTGCCCCATCGTATGCCAACCTGTACCTGGGATGGTGGGAAAGAGAGATTGTCTTTTCGGAGCTCAATTCAAATTTCACGGACTCTATATTTCTATGGAAGAGATACATAGATGACGTCCTTATCATCTGGACGGGCACTCAAACTCATTTCAAAACCTTCGTGGAAGCACTCAACACAAACGATCTCAATCTTAGATTCACCATGGAGTTTGGTGATCAGGAACTCAATTTTCTTGATTGCACACTCAGGGCCGGCCTTTGGGGTGTGCGAGCTGTGCGGCCGCACAGGGCGCCATGGCAACAGGGGCGCCGGGCGGCCGACACAGCTCGCAGTCGCTCTGTCACTGGCCGGCCCGAGATTGTCTGTGAGCTGAACTGCGGTTTCCGGAGCGTGGAGGAGGAGCTTGGGGGCGCAGCCGCACAAGCGCAGCGTGCAAGTGCTGCGCCATCACAGAGAGCCGCGGAAGGATCCGCTCAATGTGTGAGGGCGGCGGCCGGTGCTCTGCAGACAGGGAGGAAGCAGCAGACTTCAAAGTAAGTACCTGTTCTTATTTTTTTATTTTTAATCCAAAAATCTGTTCATAAAATACAGGGTCGAATTAAGGGGGGCAGGGGACTTGGTAAGGGTGACCATGGGTCTAATTGAGGGGGGCAAGGGACTATGGGTGACCCTGGGTTGAATTAACTATGACTATGGGTGACCCTGGGTTGAATTAACTATGACTATGGGTGAGCCTGGGTTGAATTAAGGGGGGCAGGGAACTAGGTAAGGGTGACCCTGGGTCTAATTAAGGGGGGCAGGGGACTGGGACTGGCTATGGGTGACACTGGGTCTAATTAAGGGGGGCAGGGGACTGGGACTGGCAATGGGTGACACTGGGTCTAATTAAGGGGGGCAGGGGACTGGGACTGGCTATGGGTGACACTGGGTCTAATTAAGGGGGGCAGGGGACTGGGACTGGCTATGGGTGACATTGGGTCTAATTAAGGGGGGCAGGGGACTGGGACTGGCTATGGGTGACACTGGGTCTAATTAAGGGGGGCAGGGGACTGGGACTGGCTATGGGTGACATTGGGTCTAATTAAGGGGGGCAGGGGACTGGGACTGGCTATGGGTGACACTGGGTCTAATTAAGGAAGGCAGGGGACTGGGACTGGCTATGGGTGACACTGGGTCTAATTAAGGGGGGCAGGGGACTGGGACTGGCTATGGGTGACACTGGGTCTAATTAAGGGGGGCAGGGGACTGGGACTGGCTATGGGTGACACTGGGTCTAATTAAGGGGGGCAGGGGACTGGGACTGGATATGGGTGACACTGGGTCTAATTAAGGGGGGCAGGGGACTGGGACTGGCTATGGGTGACATTGGGTCTAATTAAGGGGGGCAGGGGACTGGGACTGGCTATGGGTGACACTGGGTCTAATTAAGGGAGGCAGGGGACTGGGACTGGCTATGGGTGACACTGGGTCTAATTAAGTGGGACAGGGGACTGGGACTGGCTATGGGTGACACTGGGTCTAATTAAGGGGGACAGGGGACTGGGACTGGCTATGGGTGACACTGGGTCTAATTAAGGGGGCAATGGACTGGGACTGGCTATGGGTGACACTGGGTCTAATTAAGGGGGACAGGGGACTGGGACTGGCTATGGATGACACTGGGTCTAATTAAGGGGGACAGGGGACTGGGACTGGCTATGGGTGACACTGGGTCTAATTAAGGGGGACAGGGGACTGGGACTGGCTATGGGTGACACTGGGTCTAATTAAGGGGGGCAAGGGACTGGGCATGGATGCCAGGTTATGATTAAGGGGGCAGGGGTTTGATTAAGGGAGGCAGGGTCTGATTAAGGGGTGCAAAGGGTTGATGAAGGGGTGCAGCCTGGGGATTGATGAAGGGTACAGGGTCTGATGAATAGAGGCAGTATCTGATGAAGGGGGGCAGGGTCTGATGAAGGGGGTAGGGGTTTTATTGAAGAAGTGGCCAAGGGTTTTGGTGAAGGGGGTGAAGGCGGCATATTGTGTGCCTGAAATTGTCTAGAGGGGGCCAAACAAAGACGTGGGTTTAAGAAATGAGGGAGAGGCTATACATGCTTAGTGTTGTAAAATGGTTAAATATAGTGTACTGACAACATTGCTCTTGTTTCTACAATACATAAACTGACTTTGTGGATTATACTATTAAAGTGGCACTGTCACTGTCTGGGAATTTGCCAAATGTGCAAAGACCCCCGACAGTGACATTGAAGCTGATCTATAGTTGATCTATATCTTCACTACTGTGTTAGCATGTGATTTTTATGTTTAGTTGTTCTACACATGTAATGTTATGTTTCCATGTGTTATGTTATTTAATCTATACCTGGAAATACAAGGTTTGGATGTCTTATTCATTTGATGAATACCTGCAATGCTTATTTATTTATCTATACTTTATTTGGCGCAAATGTTGGCGTACTACATTTAGGAAATTCATATTATCTGTACACTGCTGCTGCGAATCTTGCATTTCTTTTGCATCTATACTTAAAAGGGCCTCTCTTTTAAATATATATATTTTTTAAATTCTTTATTTTTGTCGTGCAGGAGATAAAAAAGCGCAGTCGTACGCCACAACAGCGTGCATACACATTTAAACATAAAGTTAACAGTGGAATTAATAGTTCGCACGTTTTTATATTTTAAAAAGAAAAACACATTGTTAACTAGGTAAAAATATACATTAGAGTGTAGCTCATTTGTGTTAGCCACAATAGCTTCGTCAAGATGCCACAACAGTGTAGTTATGCAGACGCGTGCGGGTTAATTAGTGGCTTGAATTTTCATGCATTTTTATATTAGATAACAAGATAACCTCATGAGCAGCCGGTATAGTTCCTGTGAGCCTATCAACTATGCTTATGGAGCAGAAAGGCAATACAGGTTCGGTCGGCTATGTTTCTAACAAAGACAAACATTATCAACAGAAATAAACCTGATCATAATTGGTGGAGCATGTACAATAGGTTGCTGTACGTTACAGCCGACCAACCCTGCACCCACTTTATACGTAGGGGGGGGTTAATCGGCATTATGAGGTTGGTCAGGGCATATGCCGAGGGGGCTTAGTGACTATTCAGTGCCTGACCTAGCTGTGGGGGATCGCTGTGTGCTCTCCTTCCATATCATTAACTTGTTAGTTTGTGTAATGTCGATATTAAGCATCGCCACTTCGGCTGGTGCGGTCTAAGCGGAGGCAGTTACATACAATTACGTGGCTTAAGAATATTGCGCCCTTTTGTGTGTTTGGTATAGGGGAATAGTGCTAATCGGTAGGTAATGAGGGCTATTTGTGTTCACGTGTAGATCCCTGAGGGGAGCAGGTAGCTAGAGTGTCCCCCGGGTTCTCATGTAATGTTGTGCGGGGTGGGTGTCGGAGTGGACCTGGAGAAAGAGGCTTGTGGGAGAGCCTGGCCAATCTGAAATTAATAGAAGGCAGAAAAATCAGTAACTAACTGATCTAGTTAGGCACATATATAAAACAACTTATTTAGAAACAGGAATGGAGTTAAGAGAGACTTACCCTGTTAGTAGATGTAGAACGGAAAACTGTGTCTCACAAGGACAGTTGAACCGAACGCTTCTGACGAGGTTGGTGATCGCAGGAAAAACGCCGGGCAGGTCGCGCCATAGAAGCCGTTTAAAATGACTGCCTTGACAGTTGACGGGGGCAGGGCTGAGCGTAAGGGAGACGCAGTATTATCAGAATGAGCAAGCAGGTCGCGGAACTTAGGTGCGACCTGCTGGGAAGTCTGAGCTGCAGGGAAAAGGCACCTAAACGTCGGGGAGGAAACCGGACAGTTAGGGGAAGCACTGTAAAGGTCCTTGACCACAGGGACAGAGAGAAATACTCACAGGCCAACCAGAAAGTCAGCCCTGAGTCTAAAAGTAATAAGTGAAGTTATTAATTTAATACAGTAGTAAAATAGGGAAGTATGTTTTTTTTTAGTAGCAAAGTAATTGGAACAGACTCACCTGGGAGGCAAGCAGCAAAGAAAGAGGATATGGGAGGAGCTTCACCATCAGTTATTATGTGATATCTGTACTGTGATTGGGTGATTTTACTTTAAATTGTTAACTATTTCTTTGCTGCTGGGAGGTTTGAGTAAAGAAAGTAAAGCAAATATGAAGCCTCCTATCTTGCCATGAAATCAGGGTTACCATGGCAAAGTTCTGACACTGTTTAAGTGCCGTTGTTCGTGAGACAGTTATACATTGTCAGCACTCAGCGAAGAAAGTGAGAGCCGGTCACTTTCTCCTAGATAACAGACTGAGCCGCACGGGAAGGAAGACAGCATGAGGAGTAGGATGAAAATAACTACAATCTCTGTGCATACATCTCAGCAATTAAACACCAACACTACACACAAATACAACGTTGCATTGAAACATCAACACTACATACAAACACACCACAGCATGCAAAGATTAGCACTACATATAAACACACCTCTGTATTAAAACACCAACATTACTTATAAACACACCACTGTATTCAAAAAAACAACACTACACACAAATACAAATCACCCTTGCAATAGGGGGCCCAAATAAAATTCTTACACCCAGGCCCCCTCTACGTTAGTTTTGCCATTGGGTGGCGCACTCATAATGTTAGTGTGAGAACCACTCAAACAAGGTAGAAGAGTGCGATGGGGGTGGCTAAATGCATCGTCACGTGTGTAGCCAAAATTCCGTGCACCAGAAGGGGGACCCCATAAGTTGTCCGTCCACCCTTGTGGATTCCCTATTCTGTGAATTAGGTGAATTCCTAGAAGCTGTAAATAATTATTTTATTTTAATTCTTCACTTTCTATTCCATTTTCATGTTTATTTTATAAATGGAGTGTTGAATCCCCACATGTACTATTTAACAATGCAAATTTGGAGGAAGGGTACCTGATTGTGGACACATTTATTCTCATGCTGACATTGTGAAAGTGTTTATCAGACTGGAGCAATTTAAATGGAGTCCAAGAGAAATGGGATTATTTAAAAGTTGCACTATTGAAGGCAACAGAAAATTGCATTAGGCTTGTCAGAAAAAGCAAAAAATTCAAGAAACCACTGTGGTACTCCGCAGATGTGGCCAAAATAGTTAAAAACAAAAAGTTAGCATTTAGGAATTATAAAAAAAACCAGCGTGAGGAAGACAAAATGATCTATAAGATTAGGCAGAAAGAGGCTAAGAAAGTTATAAGAGCTTCCAAATCACACACAGAAGAGAAAATAGCAGTCAGTAAAAAAGGGGGATAAAACATTTTTTAGATACATAATTGAGAAAAGAAAAGTAAAACAAGGATTAGTTAGATTAAAAACAAAAGAAGGAAGGTATGTAGAAGAGGATAAAGGTCTAGCTGACTGCCTCAATGAATATTTTTGTTCTGTATTTACAGATGAAAATGAAGGAAAGGGACCTCAGTTGAGAAAAAGGATAAATGAGTCATATATTACACGTGAGTTTACAGAGGAAGAGGTTCTATTTCAACTGTCAAAAGTAAAGACAAATAAGTCAATGGGACCTGATGGAATACACCCAAAGCTATTAAAAGAGCTTAGTGGTGTACTAGTAAAACCATTAACAGATTTATTTAACCAATCATTGTTAACAGGAGTAGTCCCAGAACATTGGAAGTTAGCGAATGTTGTGCCCATTTACAAGAAAGGTAATAGGGAGGAGTCGGGCAACTATAGGCCAGTAAGCCTTACTTCAGTAGTGGGGAAAGTGATGGAAACCATGTTAAAGGATAGGATTGCTGAACATCTAAAAACACATGGATTTCAAGATCAGAGACAACATGGGTTTACTTCAGGGAGATCATGCCAAACTAATCTTATTGATTTTTTTGATTGGGTAACTAAAATTATAGATCAGGGTGGTGCAGTAGACATTGCTTACCTAGATTTCAGTAAGGCTTTTGACACTGTTGCACATAGAAGGCTTATCAATAAACTGCAATCTTTAAGTTTGGATTCCAATATTGTTGAATGGGTAAGGCAGTGGCTGAGTGACAGACAACAGAGGGTTGTAGTCAATGGAGTATATTCAAAGCTTGGGCTTGTCACCAGTGGGGTACCTCAGGGATCTGTACTTGGACCCATTCTCTTTAATATTTTTATCAGTAATATTGCAGAAGGTCTTGATGGTAAGGTATGTCTTTTTGCTGATGATACTAAGATATGTAACAGGGTTCATGTTCCAGGAGGGATAAGCCAAATGGCCAATGATTTAGGTAAACTAGAAAAATGGTCAGAATTGTGGCAACTGACATTTAATGTGGATAAGTGCAAGATAATGCATCTTGGAAGTAAAAACCCAAGGGCAGAGTACAGAATATTTGATAGAGTCCTAACCTCAACATCTGAGGAAAGGGATTTAGGGTGATTATTTCTGATGACTTAAAGGTAGGCAGACAATGTAATAGAGCAGCAGGAAATGCTAGCAGAATGCTTGGTTGTATAGGGAGAGGTATTAGCAGTAGAAAGAGGGAAGTGCTCATGCCATTGTACAGAACACTGGTGAGACCTCACTTGGAGTATTATACGCAGTACTGGAGACCTTTGTCACGGTTATCACCGCGACATCCAGACTGCCAGACGAGGTCGCCCCCGAAGTGCCCTGGGTACTTTGTGGTCCTGGGCCTGCTGTTTCTCCTCTGAGCCACCATACAGCTCAAGTAATAGCCTGAAGTTTGGATCTTGCCTTGTATGCAGCATTAGGGGTTGGAATTTACCTGAGACTGCTCCTGTAACTCATGGTTCACCTGTGGCTGATCACTGATTAGACAGGTATAAGACACTGCCTCTCCCTGAAGGCAGTGTTAGTTCATTGACTCTGGTTCTCGTATTGCTGTTTCATGTTCTCCTGTTGATTCCTGACCTTGGCTGTTATTTTGTGTATCCTGATTTCTGGCATCCTCTGACCTCTGGCTTACCCATGACTATTCTCCTGTTTATGTTCTATCTGTACTGCAACTTGGAGCATTAACCTGCACAGCCCACGTGCACAGACTCACAGGCCAGGTGAGTTCTTACCTGACCACATTGGCCTGTGTTTAATTGCAATGGTGAGCATATATCTGCGCTACAGACTCCCAACCAAGGTAAGCCGTTACAACCTTATCTTCAGAAGGATATTGATACCTTAGAGAGGGTTCAGAGAAGGGCTACTAAACTGGTTCATGGATTGCAGGATAAAACTTACCAGGAAAGGTTAAAGGATCTTAACATGTATAGCTTGGAGGAAAGATGAGACAGGGGGGATATGATAGAAACACAGTAAAGGAGACCATATTTTAAAGAAGAAAAACTACCACAACAAGAGGACATAGTCTTAAATTAGAGGGACAAAGGTTTAAAAATAATATCAGGAAGTATTACTTTACTGAGAGGGTAGTAGATGCATGGAATAGCCTTCCAGCTGAAGTGGTAGAGGTTAACACAGTAAAGGAGTTTAAGCATGCATGGGATAGACATAAGGTTATCCTAACTATAAAATAAGGGCAGGGACTAATGAAAGTATTTAGAAAATTGGGCAGACTAGATGGGCCGAATGGTTCTTATCTGCCGTCACATTCTAAGCCATGGACTCCACAAGACCACTGAAGGTGTCCTATAATATTTGATACCAAAACATTAGCAGCAAATTATTTACGTCCTGCAAGTTTCCTGCTTCCAATACATTAAATTAAAGTACTGTACTGACTGTTCACTTGCTGTCCAACATATCCCACCCCTTGACAGGTAGCATTCTAATCAACGTTCGTCACTTCACCTGAAAGTAAGCAAGTTTTGGTATTATGTATAGTGCTCAAAATTTCCACCAGCCAACTAGTCACTGACAAGTGGAAATTAAGCCTTGTAAGTGTACCATGAAGTCAAATTGTTTTTGGGGATCTTTGCTATTAAGAGTTAAAGCGGCACTTTCATGCCAAACTTACCTTTCCACAATCGATTCCTCTTCTCTCCCTCTGTCAGGATCTGTTATTTGTCCCGTCTAGGCCCTTACGATCTGCTGAAGACTTACGTCTATCTTGTGTCCGTACTCCCACCTCTGATGCTCGCCTTCAAGATTTCTCGAGGGCTGCACCGTTCCTGTGGAACTCGCTTTCCTCCTCCGTTAGATGCTCACCTTGTCTCCACTCCTTCAAAAAATCGTTAAAAACCCACTTCTTCATTAAAGCGTATCAATTAAACTGTTAATAGCTCCTGACTGATTCCTCTTCTTCAGCTGTCACTAGTCTAATACTATCCTTACCTTTTTGTGTCATTTTACCCCACTCCCTCTATCATGTAAGCTCATTGAGCAGGGCCCTCAACCCCTCTGTTCCTGCGTGTCAAACTTGTCTGGTTACCATTACATGTCTGTTCGTCCACCCATTGTAAAGCGCTGTGGAATTTGACGGCGCTCTATAAATATAATAATAATAATAATAATTTCTTCCTGTCTGCTCTAGTTTTCTTTAAAACATAAGACAAAGTAGGTACTACTTTGTCTTATGTATATTTCCTATGCTTGACCAGCTTTGACCAGCAGCAAAGTGTGCTTCATTTCCTGTGGTCAGAGAAATGTTCCCACAATTCTCACCTTTAATCTGTGATTTTGCGATGCTTCCTGTCAGTATTCCCGAACGTCCTGTCACTTAGACAGAACGCAGGCGAAACTACCGAATTGTGTCCTAACAAAATGAGAACAGTTTCTCCATTTGTGTTAGGACGCAATTCAGGA